GTATTACGGCATTCCCGCGGGGAGGAGGAAGGAGGGTCAGGGTTGGCTGGGGCGGGGCTTCAAGGTAAACAAATGAGACGCGTGCGTACGGGGGCGTAGTCCAGCAGTTTCCCGGGGCTTCCAGAGCTGGCCTGGTTGCCACCGCCTCTGAGGGAGCGGGATCAAGAGAGACACGCGCTGCTCCCTGGGAGTTGTAGTTCTACCCCGGCACAGGCCTGCCGAAGGAAGGCGTGGAGAACTACACGCCCCAGCAATCCTTAGGTGCCGCCGCTCCTGTCAGCCTGTCTCTGGACGGTGGGTATTGTGCCCTCTGCTGTTGAACTCTGCGGGAGAATGTTGATTGTGGACGTTTCTAAATATGTACCTTGTCCCCTGCTCCGCTTGCCAAGTGACTTTTATTTTGCCGGTCAATTAAAGCGAGGGCTTTCAGGGACTCTAGGTTGTCTCAAAGTCCTTGATCCTCCACTCCTCCCATTTTATGATAGGCAAGTACAAACCCACAGCGCCACTCGATACAAACGGCCAAGTCGTGTGGGCCAGCCTCTCTTCTTCCCTCTTTTTCGAGGCAGCAAAGGAGGTTGGGTCTGGAGAGTCTAACTTGGGCAGTTGTTGAATGTGCTTAGTGGAAATCGCGCAAACCCAGGGCCACCTCCCTGGCTTTTATGCCTGAGAACACAATGGGCAAAGGGCCAGGCTAGGGTCTCCTTTTCACCCACTGACCTTGAAGTTCGAAGGATCTAAATGACTTGGAAAGCATTGCTGAGTTCAAGAGACCTTGGAAGTAAGATGGGTGGAATATGAAATAGGGTGTTTCCATGGTTTGTTTTTTTTTTTTTCTTTTTTTTTGTTTGGTTTTTTTTTTCTTTAGATACTAGAGGAAAATTAATTATTCCGGACTGTTACAATATTTAGTTGTGGCTTAAACAGTTGCTTTTTTCCCCGTTAATGATGGGCTAGGAAGAGTTTACTACTAAAAGGAATTTAGTAAGCATTTTAAATTACTATTTCCCAAGGCTGTTGTGTTAAGCTGGATTTTCACATGTGAGACTTAGTTCCCAACTACGTGTTATCCTGCATACTCAGTAAAGTTACAAAACAGGGGAAGAAAGAAAACGAGCCAAGTGGAACTTGAAGTTGAAATAACGTAAGTTGATCAGAGCAAGGAAAATTTGGCTTAGGTTACTAGCGTTTCACTGAAAACAAGGAAGGAATCTACTAAGACAGAAATAACTATTTTGCTTCATGATTCTGAAAATGATTTCCTATATATTTCTTTAAAAGCCTTACCCCTCGACCTCACATAATTAATTTTGATTCCACCTAAATCAAATCCACAGCAGAATTCCATGTAAACATGAAGGGAGATGCAAATCCTCCCCATCTGTCACATGTTCGGCTCAATCACTTTAACAGATCATTATAAGCCTGAATCAGTCATTTTAGGAGAGCAGTTAGGTAAGTTGTACTACCCCTGACCTCCTAAGAGTTTTTAAATTAGAAATAAGACACTAACGGTGAGAGAGATGTGCAGAAGGAAAAAAATGCAATGTTTCATGGAAATAGGCCTGACGGAGCACACACCTTAATTAGGAAGTCAGCTGACAGAGAGCTAACTTTGGGAGAAATTTGCAAGGACAATGAAACTGAGTACAAGTTAAAGGATCAGCCTCTGAAAGAAGGAATGGAGCCAGAGAAATGACTAGAATATTGAAGACCCGTTTCAACTACCCCTATCTTCTTTGCCTTGAGTAGCCCCTAACACAAAGTATGCTAGATATCGACGCTCTCGCTGCCATGGAGTTGATGCCAACTCATAGTGACCCAGTCTGTGGGTTTCTGAGACTCTCACTGTTTACAGGAATTGAAAGTCCGCCTTTCACCCGAGATATGGAAAGAACTGTATTTTAACAATCATCTTTTAGTAACATTAAATTTTTTAAAAAGTGCCTAGAAATCTCAGTACTAAAACAATGAATCTTCACATCTTCATCAATCCCTTAGTTCAGTGGTTCTCAACCTTCCTAATGCCAGGACCCTTTAATACAGTTCCTCATGTTGTGGTGACCCCAAACCATAAATTATTTTCGTTGCTACTTCATTACTGTCATTTTGCTACTGTTATGAATCGTAATGTAAATATCTGATATGCGGAATGTATTAAGCGACCCCTGTGAAAGGGTCGTTCGACACCCCCCCCAAAGGGGTCACGACCCACAGGTCGAAAACCACAGCAGTCGCTTTCTTACAAACCTCTTCACTTGTTGCTGAATTTAAAAATGTAAACTCTCCCTTACCAGCTTTCTCCTGTTGTAACAAGGGCAAAGAAAGTTTCTTCAAATCATCAACTCCCCTGCCATTAGCCCAATGTCCCCTAACATCTTCACTAAGAAATTCTAGTACTGTGCTGAGTCTAGCTCTGGTTCCTGTCAGTTAACCTTTCACAGTCACCAGAACTCTGCCTTTTTATCCTCTAGGAATTTTGTTTACCATTAGAAGGTATTTATAGCCAAAACACCATCTCCAAAGGGGAGGGGGACATTGCTCAGAGAATTTACCATCTCAAGTACTGGAAAGAGTGGGATTGAAGGAGTCATCATACACTTGCAGTAAAATTATGAGGGATTCATCAATAAGAGGAGGGGAATAAAATGGAAATAGTGTTGAAATAGCTCTGCATGGAGAAAAACAAATGTAATAATCCCCTCAAAAAGAAAGAAAGTGGCTATAATAGGACAGGAAGAATATACTATGCAATTTTGCTAGGTTTGATTCATCAAGCCCATAATCTGAAAGATGCCAGGGTACCCAAGATGATAAGAATCAGAAGGACTAAGGTTCATGCTGTGATGCTTCCCTGATTTATCCCCGAGCCTTCTATGAAGGTACTAAACTGGACAGTGAGGAGAAAGAAAAAGGACAAATCTGGCGCCAAAGGTCTTTTTAAGAAGTATTCAAAAGCAAATGATCACTTTCAGAACTAAAGTGTGCCTGGCTCACACAATGGTTTTGTTTGTTTTTTAATCATTTTATTGCAGACTCATGCAGTTCTTATCACAATCCATACAAGCATCCATTGAATCAAGCACATTTGTACATATGTTGCTATCAACATTTTCAAAACATTTTCTTTTTACTTAAGCCCTTAGTATCAGCTCATTTTTCCCCCTCCCAAGGGTTCCTCCCTCATGAACCCTTGATCATTTGCAATTTTTTTTCAT